TCCGCAAGGCGCCCGGAACGTGCGCGAGCGGCCCTCAGCTCCCGTCCGCTCAGTGACGTGACAATCCCACTTCAGAGCTATGTCTGGAAATGGCAGTAAGAGGGCACAAGAACTAAGCAAGGACAATGTACACTGTGCTTTTAACAAAACCAGTATTTATTTCCAAAGGTCCCAGATTGGTTGAACAAATGATTCCTCAACAACGGAGCAGAAAGTGGCTCCCGGTGATGACAGAGTGGGTGGTTACGCCAGGTCCCTGCAGAGCCAAGAACCCTGAGTCTGTTTCAAGGCTACAGGGAGCTGCCACAGTCGGGAAAAGCAAGATCCCGGAAAGGCGGGAAGCACAGAGAGAGAGGCCTGACCCCGGGCCATTTTCACCTGGAGGCGCGTGTCCGTCTGGAAAGCGTGGCCAAGCGGTGACGCCGAGCAGGCCTTCTGACAGGCTCGGGGGCTCAGTGCACAACGTGCGGGACCCACCCCGGAGGAGGGGCCAGCCAAGACTAGGCCATGGTCACGGGCCAGGCCTGAGGGTGTACAGAGTCAGACGCAGCTGCACTGGGACCAGCTCCTCGGGCTCACGTGCTCAGAGCCGGCTCCCTCAGAGCCGCCACGGCTGTGACCAGCCAGGTCCCCGCAGCCCACGCTCTGATGCCTGCGGGAAGCAGAAGCCCCCCCCGCCATGTGCACATCCTTGCCCCAAGCCCCATGCATGTGCTAAGGTACACGCCAAAGGGACTGTGATTAGGGTGTGATTAGGTTAGGATCTTGAGAAGAGATTATACGGAATTATCTAGTCACGTGGGTCCTTAAAATCAGAAAACCTTTCCTGGCCGTAGTCACTCACAGATAATGTGGCAGTAACACCAGGCCTCTGCGGGCCCAGAGGCTGGACATCCATGATCACCTATGATTTCCCCTCCCCTTCACCGCCAGACTTCACGCTGGCTCAGGCACAGAAAGCGGTTCTCCCACGGCACGGGCTTCCCCACAGCCCCAGGGTCACGGCGTCACACACACAGCCGGCCCGCAGCCCGTGCTCGAGCTTCCAGACCCCCGACAAGGAGCCCTTTGTGTCCCATCACCCCCACCCCTGCCGTCCTCCCTGACCCCCTTCTCCTTCCTGACTCTCCCCTCTTCCCCATGGGTATCACTGTGGTCACTCGGTGGTGGTGGCTTCCAACTGTCAATCCATGCCCCCCTCGCCAGCTCCACGACAGGGCCCCCGGGCACCTCTGTCCCTCAACCACACTGAGCCCAGTGCCCCCAGACCTGCTCCCCGCGTTCACTCAGTGCCCCGGCCCCCCTCTCCTGACCGATCACACTCAGTGCCCACGTGGCCCGGCCCTTCCCCCTCCTCTCCACCCCCACCCCACCCACACCATTTCTCGCCGAAATCCTATTTTTACGACCTGCTGTGATAGGGAAGTAACAAACCTGACCCCACGTGGACCTGTTTCTTTAACTTCTGTATTCTATTGCTCTGACTACAAGTTAGTCAGTAAAGGGATGTTGCCTATAAGCTTACATTACACAGAATGGCCCAGCTCCGGGAACCCTGCCTCCCAGGTGATGAGCGTTAAGCTAAAATACCTGTGTTTAGCTCCCAGGAAACTTCCTGACCAGACCCACCTGGGAACGACCGCAGGAAGGACGGAATTAACGCCACCCTCTGGAGGCTGAGCGCAAGCAGGAAACGTTCGCCTTGACGCCCTCTCCTTTTAGTATAAAAGCAGCATGAATTCTAACTCAGGCAAGAGGGTACTTTGGGACACTAGCCCACCATCTTTTCGGTCTGCTGGCTTTCCAAACGGAGTCGCTATTCCTTGCCCCGAAAACTCATCCTTCAATTAACTGGCCTGTGGCGCCACAAACAGTCCAAGCTTGGACTCAGTAACAGTCTCAACCAGCTTTCCTGACACAAGTCCCTACATTCCAGCTCCTCCTCCACTCGCCACCTCACAGAGCCAAATCTGGACCCCAGGTTTTCAGACAGTGGGCTAAAGGATTCAAGTCTCTTCTCAAACTCAAGGAAATCATACAAAAGCAGGAAGGAGAATGAAAAGCAGAAACACAAACTCCATCTTCACTGAAACTTGGGAACATCTCTAACCCAGAAGCACACTGAGAAGAAAGCCTCCAAGCGGAGAGGGTAGGACCCAGAGAAGATGCTGAGCGGGTGGGGGGAGCAGGCAGCAGGAATGAGTGCTCCCATACACGCTTCGGCAAGAATGCGAGCAAGGTTGGGGCACCAGCGGGCATCTCCCCAGGAAGCAGCCTGGGGCTCCAGGGAGGCTGCACTGTGGCCAGCTGGGCTCTGCCAAACTCCTCTGTCTTGGGGTAAGTCACAGCTCAAGAATTTACTCAACAAAACTCTGTGCCGCAGGAGCTCCTGGCAGCCTGGCGTGGGCCTGGGCACCCCCACCCAGGTACACGCACACAGATCGGGCTGCAAGCGGCTCAGGAAGGCACGTCACGGGACTGTGACCTAGGGAGGCAGCTGGAGCCCAGCAACGGCACCACCGGGAGGGACGGGAGGCCAGAACAGCAGGAAAAGACCTCAGAAGATGAAAACATAGGGCAGACGCCACCACAGGAGGGCCAGAACCTGTGACTGCACAGGGGATGCACACGAGACTCAGCGGAGCAACGAGCCCTTCCAAGACCGGAGGAGATAAAGTAAGGCAACCCGGACGACTGACCTGGAGCTGACCCAGTGGCGGAGACGGAAAACAGAGCCGCTGCTGGAGGGACACAAAGACAGACACCCTAACGGACAGCGTGTGCAGTACGTGAAGGCGCAGCGAATCTGTAAAGGAGGCTGCGGTGTGGCTTTGTGCTCAAGCTGTCAGCTCAGGTGCAGGCTCTTTGTGCACTGGTTTGGAAGCAGCGTTTCCTATTTGATCCCTGGGACTGTAAGTCCTGTAACATAATTGCCCTCCCTGTAAGAGAAAGGGTCCTGGGACTTGCCCAAGGATTGACAGTATCACTCGTCTAACTAGCGGGGATTTTCAGACATCGCCTTGCGAAGTAAATGTCAGGAACAGCACACCCTCGCCCGCCCAGGCTGCAGTAATAGAAACACAAGAACTTAGGCACCCGGCTCGAAAGGATGAAAGACAAGGAAGTGGAAACTCCAGGAAGAGAAACCAGCACTGGCGGGTGCACAGCATCAACCAGGCAATTCAGGCCACGCGCACAGAAATAAGGTGAGATACTGAACTTAACATTCCGATTGTTTCTGAGCAAACATCCTGAAAAGCTGGCTGCACTAGTCACAGAACACTACTCGAATCAGCAGTCGACAATATTATGTAACTAGAAAAACCAGAACCCTGGATATGGATTTGGCAAGAGATTGCACTTAACTACACTGGGAGTCTGAGGGAAGGCAAGAGAGCGCAGAAAAAGCCAAAACCCTCACGTGACGTGGGCCCCGTCACCAGATCATATCCGAGATATAAAAGCAGCCAAGTAAAGACTAGAAGAAATCGCTGTAAAACGTTGAAAGTGGTTATCCTAGGGTATCAGATAAGATGCAAAGGGAGTGTTTAGGGCCTGCTGATTTTAATCAGATTTTCAGCAATTAACTTTTTTTTTTTAGTTTCAGACTTTTTATTTGTAAAAGGGAGATAACAAAACCTACCTCAGAGGGCACCATGGAAGTAAAATGAAACAAAATATGTAGAAACATGGAGCACGCAACCTAGCAGACATTGACTTGATGTTATTAGGAAAGGTGGTGTGCAATTGGACCATGTTATTTATTTTTTACTATTATTGAGAGAAATATTGCTTGCATTCACAGCAACTAACTTCTTAAACGACTCATAAGAATTACTTGATTTAAAATTTTTAAATATACAAAAGGGAAAAGAACTAAAATTGTGAACACAATTCAAAATGTTGCAAAAACAGGAATGTGCTCAGGAAACAGGAATGTGTCTCTTGTTTGGACAAGGGTACCTCATCTCAGCCTCCGAGCCTCACCACCTTCAATAATTAGATCCTCATCTTCTACATAAACTGTTCTCCAAAGTGATTTTAACATCAATGACAACCAAACCTCCACTATAACTTCTAGTTCTTTCATGTTTACTGCAGTAATGGTGCTTCAGATTCAAGAAAGTCACGGCCCACAGAGCTGTCCAAAGTAAAGAAGTGCAAAAATCAGTTACTTTTAAGACAAAGAAGAAATTCAGATATAATATTTGATGCCCAAGGCAAGGATCTACTCCACTGATCTGTCAGAATGCCAGGAAACGACATTTTGTTACCTTAAAGATCCGACACTGAAGATCAAAACCTCCAGGTTATTTAGGAGATTTCTTAAGGAGATCAAAAAGTTATGAAGTAGCAACAGAGGAAGATGCACAAGGTCAGGGAAGCTTCTATCTCCCGCATGCGCCCTGTGTGCGCACCCCTACGTGCACCTTGTTAAGGAGACAGCAGTGTAACTTTGTGGTTAAGAGGCTTAAAACAAACAAACAAACCAAAAAAAAAACAGAAGACAAATGAACTTAAATATAAAACAGAAACAGACTCAGAGACATAGAATACAAACTTGTGGTTGCCAGGGGCTAGGGGGATAGGGAGGGACAGACTGGGAGTTCAAGCTTTATAGATACTGACAAGTATATATAGAATAGATAAACAAGTTTATACTGTACAGCACAGGGAAATATAGTCAAGATCTTGTGGTAGCTTATGGTGAAAAAGAATATGAAAATGAATATATATGTATATTCATGTATGACTGAAAAACTGCTGTACACCAGAAGTTGACACAATATTGCAAACTGACTATAACTCAATTTAAAAAAAAAGAAAAGAGGCTTTGAAGTCAGTTTGGGTTTAAAGCCTGCCTAGGTTAGAATCTCTATCATTTGCCAGTGAAGCAGCCTCTTACCACAGGAAAAATAACACCTCCCTGTATGACTGCTGTGAGAATTAAACAAAGTATCTGTGCACTGTTAGGCAGAGTGCCTGAAACACAGGTACGTTCTCAACAACTGGAAGTTAAGGCACCAGTCCTATGGGACAGAGCCAGCGGTCAAACCCCACAGCAGTTCATGGCTCCTAGGACACTGAGATACCGCCTTGTCTGGAGTTTATGTGTAAGAACTTTGCCTCACAACAACCAGAACAACATTTATTGAATGCTTCTTAGGTGCGAGGGTCTGTTCTAGGTGCCTGAATTAAATGTATTAACTCATTTAATTTCACAACAGCCACAGTGGGTAGCGGCTCATTTTCCCATTTTATTCGCAAGGAAATTGAGACCCAAGGTCACAGAGTAAGTGCTGGAGCTGGGATTGAAACCTCAGGAGCTGCAGTGGCATCTAGGCTTTCAGTAACTAACACTGCTGCTTCTCCCACTGTAAGCTTCTTGAAAGTAGAAATCATGCATATTGTTAAGACACATCTGCCACACACAATTACGTAACAGGCACTTCATGTGGCGATGAACTGTTTTTATTTCTCTGTAACTGTCCCTCAGTGCCTCAAGCATATATAACAGGTCCTCTGAAGCCACTTGGAAAGACGGAAGCCAGTATAGGGCTGTAACAGGTCCCACTCAATGCGACCTACCTGCCCTTGGAGCTCATCCTTTACCCCACTCGCCCTCTCCTTCAGCCACACAGGCTCTCTTGCTTTCCCTGCATCCTCACTCCACTCCTTACACTACAGGGTCCACTCATGTCACCGTCACTCGCTGAGCACCTTCCCTGCCATGGTCACCATTAAAAGCACTGGAGAACACAGGACGAGAAGGAAACAGGACGGACAGTGGTGGGAAAACAGGTGAAATCCGAAGAGTCTGGTTCAGTTAACCAGACTGTACCAGTGCTAACTCCAAAGTTTTGGTCAGCGTGCACTGGCCCTGGAAGATGACAACATTCAGGGAAGCTGGGTGAAGGGTACACAACTTTCCGTGTATCTTCGCAACTCCTAATGTAGATTTAATTTTGTGTCAAAATTTAAACAAAAAACAGGCAGCGCCCGGCTCCAGGAAGCCCGACGGCGGAAGAACGGTGCACAAGTAAACAGGCCGGCTGCGTAGTGAGAA